CTACCCAATCAAAATGTTTTTAAAGTTAACATTTAGCAGTCAATAAGCAACAAATTTCAAGAATGTTTTCACAATTTGCAAGCTTTTAGTTCAGGGACTGGAACCTTGATGATTTTTACGGTTCCGGTTTCTTTTCGATTTTTTAAAAAAAAAACTAAAATATCGGTTCTGGTTTTTTTCAATTAAAAAAAAAAAAAAAATTATAATTTTGATTCTGGTTCCTTTTTTAGTTTTTAAATTTAGGTTTCTGTTCTTTTCGGTTCTTATAAAATGAAAATTACGTTTCCTATTTTAGTTTTTTACTTAGAAAAATTTGGTTTTATTTCGAATCTTTAAAAAAATATTAGTATTTTCAATACTTATATTTTTAATTCTCATAATAATAATAATATATTTACGTAGTTATTTGTTTAGTTCTTAATTTTTATTATTTATTAATGACAAATAAAAATAAAAATAATAGAATTATAAAAAAACCGAAATTAATCGTAAGAAACTTTTACAAAAAACAAAAAGTATCGGTTCCGGTAAAGTTACGGTTTTTAAAAAAAATTAAATAAGGATTCCGATGATGTTCCGGTTCCCAATATTCAAAGGTTTTCGGTTCCAATACCGGTTCTTTTCGGCACGGTTCTAGCCTCTGCTTTAGTTTAATCATAAAACAAAAATCTTAGGGTGAGGCTAAAGACACATGTCCCATATCATTGAAAACACGTTTTCAAAAGTTTCTTGAACCATCATTTAGCAGCTATCAGCAACAATTTTCAAGGTTATGATCGAAATTTGTAAACCAATATTTCATTTGTGAAATACGTTTTCGAATTTCAAAAACCATTTGATAAAATTATATAGTTAATACATTTTCAGAGAATTTCGAGTTGATGATGTAGACCATGGTTTCTTCATAACTTTGTTTTGTTCACTATATCTTTAAACTTATTTCCCAAAGCAGTAATGATATCAGATTAATATACATTTTTCATGAGATATTTTACTTACTTGCGATGATAACCACTCAAAGTACCTTTTGGTACTTTTTATTAAAAAATATGAATACCTTATTTTATAATACTTAAATTGTTTAATTTTTTTTACTTTCAATTGGAATTCATGATTAATTTTGTTAAGATTCGTCTATATATAAATCAATTTAGATTTAATAAACACGTGTCTTCAGCGCCAACCTAAGTGTTTTTGATTTATGACGAAACTTAAGATTTCAAATTATGAAAATATTCATACAAATTGTTACTAATTGGCTGCTAAATGTTAACTTAAAAAAAAATAACAACATTTTGATTGAGTAGAATCGAGGGCACAATGTCCATTAGCCATTGTAAATTTGGTTGAATCTCTTTAAAATTGATTTCAAATAGTCTTCTACATGGCTTTTTACTAGTAGTGTTCTTATTGATAGTTCTAAATGATTACAAAACCATAGAAAGTTTTTTTATAGGTTAATTTTTTTAATCTTACTTGAAATAAACGATTTTTGAAAATATTTACTATTTTACAATAGTTTGTAATTTAATTAACTTTTTGAATTCAAAAATTTCCTAATCTTCCTTGTACACAAGTATAAAAAAATATTATGGCGCCATATGCCTATATCAATTCAACTATAATATTTATAATATCATATTTAAGTTTTCGGAAAAAAGAATTATTCCATTTTTGAATACAACTCATGCAATTGTTTCCAAACAGAGATATTCAAATTTTTATTATTTATTTATAAACAATATGGTGTATACTTATGTAATAATCCATCGTTTTTACTTGTTCGAGATATTTTTCTACGTAAAAATAAATTATTTAAGTAGTAAAAAATGTAATATACCTATTTATCAGGAATATACATCATATATACATGTAAAGATTTTCAAAACAAAACTTTGTGCAGCTTGATTAAACAATTGTTGACTTAATGTAAACATAATATTTGACAGATTAAAGGGTAATAATTGTTTTTTATATTTTATCTAGCTTAAATATTGAAGCATAACAACATTATAATAATATTATATATACAAATTCATCACTATAAATCTATATGAGCAAACAAATGTAGATCGTTAAACGTTTAATTAAAAATAAATTTGTAATTGATATTTCATTTAGCGTTATAAATATCGTCGGAATGTATATAATGCGATATTACATATCAAAGTACTGTGGGTTCAGTTATTCATCTGATGATGATTGTAATTTGCAGAGAAAAGAGGACTTAGAGGTAAATAAAATAAAACACATTTATTATAATTCATGATGTAATAGCTTTGTATACCTTACTAGCCCAGGTTTGAAATGTGCAACAGTTAGAACAAATATAGGTGTGATTAAATTTATATTATTTAGATTGTAATATTTATGTAAGGCACATTTTTGCAATAATAATTGAACATTTAATACGATGACGAACTAGCGTGCGTATTATCATATTAAGGGAGACTGGATACAGTAACTCGTTTGATATTAATAATTGTAACATCGTCGATCTTCCCTATATGGTTTTTTTACGGCGACTAATAATAATTTTGTCCTTAGAATATTATTACGAACACCCGAAATAATACAAATAATACCAAAATTAGTTGTGCGAAAATCGTTTATTACAATATTATTTAAAAACAGTACCTATAATACATAATATCATCATCTATATTATATATTCTATTAGGTAGTAGGTAAGTATAATATAACTGGAAGAGGCATTAATCCTTTAAAGTTGATTTAATACATTATGCGCATTTGTACGTTGGCTATTATCGCTCAATTGATCGGTAACGTACATATCAACAAATACTATGACGACGCGTATGTTTGGACGTCGCGGTTGTGTATTTTGTAAACAAGGTTTTATAATTTCTTAACTTAATACACGTATGTTGTAAATGTTTTGAGCAATTTGTGCTTTTATTATTTTTAACTTTCCATTTCAAAATACCCTATAGTATAATATATGTGTACAATAGTAAAATATAATATCGTATTGTTTATGTTAACGGAGATCTATCGATTCACCACCATATTTTAATATTGTTTTTAAATCAACCACCCGCATTGTCTGCAGACATAATGTTTCGCTTTTGCACTTCAAAATTTTTACACTACTAATGTTTAATATACTATCACATAGGTCATAGGTAATAACATACAAATTTATATAAATCCGTCTTGTTCGGCACGCACGGCGGATATAATTTGTTTCACGGTATGTATGTACGCGCATGTGTGTCAGTTTGAATTTAGTCAGGCGTTTACGATGATCTAAGATATGTCAATAAGAATTTAAGACGTCTACACATATTTATGCTTGAAATCGTGTATAATATGAAAACTAATAAAAACAGTTTTGCTGACGAATGTACAGCTACAGTGAAAGCATATTCCGTTCGGGTCGGACAAACTGTAACGAATTTATGTGTGATGATGTACAAATATACAATTATATTATATTGAATTTATGTATATTAAACGATTCATCCCGTGTGTGAAAAAAAATTGACTCTTAGTTATCTACACGAATATATAAGTCAAAAAAATACAATTCCACTTTATGATATTATAGGTACTTAATATTTTCATTTTTAGCCATTATTTGCTTATAATCTCTATAGGATTATTTGAAAATACTTAAGTTCACGAAACCACCAGCTTATTACCTTTAACCATCAATATCGTGGTTTAACGTAATGATAGCTGTCAATTGCAAAGTATTATATGCAATCAAAACGTGCCGATTGAATTCAACCTACAAAATCACTGGATTCACAAAATAATATGATAATAATTACACAGACATAAAATCTTCAGGGATAATTCCTATTTGACGAGGAACTATACATAACAACTGACACCAAAGCTTGAAGGAATAATCTGCTCCGTAGCACTGTTACCACGATTATGGTATAAGCTGTTGAGGAGTAATCCTTTATTTGGCGAACAGCACAAGGTCAGAAATATAAAAGTGACAGCATAGATCTGCGCACGAACTCAAATAACTGTGTGTACAATTTGAAATTAATTATAAAACGTTTAAATTTTAACACATCTCGGCTACTTATTTAATGTAACGTATACAAAGCCGTTTTTGATGATTACAGTTGCAATTCACTTTATTCCTAAGTAGGCTTATTTATGAAATATCGGAGAGCGTTAGATTTTTATTTTTTTAATATAAATAAAATATTATATCAGTTAAATGGTTTCAATATTATTCTTTTTTTTATTTATCAAGACGATGAGTTGATTTTAATTTTTACACGACTTTATTAATGTTGTAAAAGATCATTATAATTTATACATTCATACGGTATATAGTGGTTTATAATATTATGAAATTATTCATAAAAAAAATCTCTGTACAAAAATATTGTTAAATCAACAATAATTAACTACAAAGACGAAATGAATGTTTATTAACCGATTAATCATTATTTTAGTAAATATGTCAACGATTTTATCGTGATCTATGAGGATAGCTGGGCGTTAAAAAAAAAGAACAACCTTATGAAATTTTATTCGAAATATTCAAAATTATAAAAATATAATTTGATTATTTTAAATTAATAATTTAATATGAATACTTTATAAAATTAATAATAATATGTTATACGCTATAATATAAAATATAATATACGTGAAAAAGAATATTATCTGAATACTGCATACATTGACTTTTTACGATATTTCAATTTTTACACAAATTAGGAGTATGTAAAATAATGAAATATTACAATTTAAAAATTATTTTTATAATATATGGGTAAATATTATCTATCTTGTCTAGACTTGTATTATATTTATGAAAGTTTTCTTTATCAGAAAATCAATAATATTGGTAATCAATTTTAAGAACTTTAATACAACATATTTGGATGTATTTTCACTTCAAATTTCTTTTGAATAATTAAAATTAAATTCTCATATTTTTAAAAACTAAATTATTACACCCTAATTTATGTGTATGTACATGCAACAAATTAATACTTAAAATATGAATTTTTTGAGTTTATTTTATTGACAATTTTATATTTAATAACGTACATATATCTATTGGTACAAGGAGAGTGGAGAAGATTCTCTTATTCTCACACTTATAATCGTTTACGCCATACACACTTACAAGATCATGCGACGCCGAAACGATATGTAAATCGGGTTGCCAATGATTTGCTCTTTAATAAATAACCAGCACAAAAAGCTTTAATAACATTTTATTGTTAATATAAGAACACTGAAGATATTCTAGACTAGTATTAAAAAAAAGCTAATAAAAATTAATTATTTATTTAAATGTATTGCATTAAAATTATATAAATATGTATATGGAAAAACTTACTTGAACTTTTTTTTGTTGAAAAAACACAAATTTTTTATTATTCTAAAACACACTCTCCTTCGTGGATGTAACACCATTCTGGTGTCACTGTATCTGCTTTAAGACCTAGTGTTACCAGTCTTTTATGATGTTGTAAAAATCTGAAATTATAAAAATTTGATTTTTACTTATTAATAACAATAAGCATACATTTCTAGAAATTATTACACAAAACAAATGAGTTGAAACAAAAAACCTATTTTTTTAAATAATAAAGCTAATTGAATTAAATACATTGAAAACATTTTATACTTTCTGAATATATTGTATGTATATAATATAACATACATGATATAGTATAATATATTTTTAAATATAAAATTGATATTTCGTGGATTTTAAAACACATTATTTGGAATTAAAAAAATTATAGTCAGGTTACCTTTATAGCCTAAATATATAGAAGTATATCGATCACGACGTGGTAGACTTTGGATTTATTTTTATAATAATAAGAAGTCGCGTTAAATGATCACTGATGGTATCGATACGTGTGAATACTTAAAAAATTATATATGAACATGTGGCCAAATATATTAGATATAAATAAAGACATCATGCAAGCAAGCAAAGTTAATAAAATTAAATTTTTTTAAGCGTAGGTATTACCTATATTCAGCAGACGAAGCGTTTGTTATTGGGTTTGACCACAGTCGCTCAGCTAAAGCTGCAGCTCGTGGCCATACTTTAGAATCAACAGCATTATCATCGACATATTCAGACCACATACATGTCTAAATAAAAAAATAAAAATAAATATATAACGTAATATATTTTAAAGTTGTAATTAAAAAAAAATACAGATTAAAATTGATATTTATTAGGTCTTACTTCTGCGCCTAATATAAGATTTGGATTATCAACTTTTGGTATTTCATTGTTGTAAATCAGTTTCCAATTATGATAGTTAGTAGAACCCCAAAAACCGTGATCCAAATAGTAAACGTCGTTTAAAGCGATTATAACTTTATAACCTAATTTAACAAGTTCTATTGGAATATTTGATCCTTCCCAAACTTCAACAGTAAACCTTTTTTTGTCGAGATACTTTTCTATGATTTTAGGTTCAGTTAACCCACTAGACCAAACGATTATATCGGATTTATCATTTCCAGCTTCTTTATCGTATTCATTTAACGAATAAGCATGGAATTGAGACCACAAATCAAAATATCCTTCTTCGTCTAAGCTTCGGTTGTTCTTTTTCATCCAATCAATGATTTCAGTAGTAGTATTCCAGCAATTTAGTGCAACCTATGTACGATTATAACCAGTAAATTTTATTCGAATGTTTGAGAATCATTTGTACTTCACTTACCTCATCACCACCCATATGGAACGCTTCTCCTTTTGGCAGTACATTGATCAAGTCTTTATAAATTTTTCCCAACCATTTATATGTGTTAGTATTGATTGGATTGAGCTGTCCACATGGTGGTTGTACACAGTATTTTTTCCAAGGATCTTTGTCCACACAAACAGCTAGGTCGCCATAACCTGAGGCTTTACCCCATTGCCAACCATTACCCGCGTGTGCCGGAGAATCGATCTCAATAATAATTCTTACTCCTCTGACTAATGCATATCTGAGAAGATCTTTAATTTCTTTGAATGTATACTTTTCGTCGGGACTATAAGCACCATATCTAAAGAGTAAAGACAAAAAAATGTGAAACCTCAATAAACTTGTAGGATTTAAACACTAAAATTATTTATCAGAAATATGAATAATAAATTAAAGGTACACGTAATAAATTGTAATAATTAATGATATGTAGTTAAATATGTTATTTAATTTATTGATATATCATTTCTAATAGTGGATTGTCATTGTTGAATGTTACGAATACTTACTTCGACATTAATGGTGCATTAGGTAAGTCCAACGGGAAACTTTGAGAATCGGTGGCGTGCCAATGAAATACATTTAGCTTGGAATGAGCCATACCATCGATGTGTCGCTTAATAGTTGATATTGGGAAATAATGCCTGGCGGTATCCAGCATAAAACCACGGTATGCGTATATAGGTCGATCACTTATTTGAACATCGCTGGCCATCACCAATTTTTTTCCATGTACTCTAGAACCATATGCAGCAACAAGTTGTCTTAAAGTTTCCAATCCATTTCTCGCTCCGTACACGGTCTTTGCTTCGATATTGACAAGTATACTATCTCCTAGAAATCAAATACCAGTATATAGTATCAAACAACTTCGATCTATCTGAAGTAAATAACTCCATACCATCGGTATTTATTTTCAAATTATAACTTTCGTTTGTTATCAATTTGATATAATCAAATGGGTCGCTTGTAGATATATATATAATTGGAGTAGTTGCATAGGAAACACAATTTGGGACGCATAGTTTTTTCAATGACGATATAAAAACTTGAGACGCTTCAGACATGTATTCTTTGCTTAATTGGTCAGCCATCTTCGATGTATCAAATTTAACATTATCAAGACCAAATTCGACTACAGATTTTCTAATATGTATTATAAATTATAATAATAAATCAAACAATTATAAAAAAATATATTTTTGTGTTTAAAGATTATTTACATTTACCTTATTATAGTATTGACTGTTGGTTTGGGCCAAAGTGATCCATAGCGTCCACAGGTTAAACGGCAAACGTCTATAGATCCATCGATTTCACTGTTCTCTTTTTCTACTGAAGACAATTTTTTGACGACACATGTATTGTTGATACATTTAAATGATTTACTAGAGACAATTTAATAAATAATTATGTTATATTATTGGAATGATTCATGAAATTCCATTGATTTCCTATAATTCCAGAAAGAATGTTTTGGTATTACCTATAAATTTTCAAAATGTATGCTATGTTTGTCCAACAATTTTATCGTGATTAGTTAGGAGGAGGCCTGCTGATGAAAGATTATTAAGGTTTAAAGCCTTAAACAATAAACATTCATGATTTAAGAATTAACTGAATTAGAAAGATAGTATATTAAATATTAATAGGTAATTTTATTTTCCAAATTTTTTTTTTTAATATTTGTTAATCTAGTCTAGCCGCTGATCAGTATCTTTTTTAGTTCTTATTGATTATTGATAACAATCTATTATTAGAAATTATTATAATAAGTTATTATGTGATATTAAATATAGTCAATAATCTATTAAATTGTAATTTTAAAATAATCATTTTTGATTAAAAATATTTATGTTAGTTTCATACATTTTTTTATGCATTTTTTAAGTGTTGAAGGCATTTCCTGGGGAGATTCAGATCTTATGAACTTCATTAATTTTTTTTATACCGTGTATGTTCCTTAATAATCAAGACTTAACAACACGTTATACTCGCATGTATTACTTGTTGACTATATTTGAATTTCACATAATATTGGTAATTATGCGTTAAAAAATAATCTATTTTGTTTTAGAATTTTTAATAATTCGAGTGAAATAACTAGTTAATAAATGTAAACATAAGAATATTGTTTAACGATCTTGTAGACATTTATTGATATTTACATTTTAAGCGAATTATGAACATTTAACTATCATTAAAAATTCATTTGAAAATTATTAAAATATCAATAAAAGCCTATAAAATGCTTCATTTAATGTAAGTTGTCTATATTAGTGAGAAAGGAGATGACAAAATATGTGAGTACGACTTTTTTTAATAGTGTAAAGTGTTGTACTTTTTGAATCTGATGAATATCTGTTGTCAGAGGTTATACGACACTACTATGTGTTATAATTTCCCTCGATGTAACAATTATTGGGCGTGGCGTGTCTATAAATATCACCTCAATTAAAAACTATAAAGATTTTAAAAAACCAAATATAATTTGTATTATTATTTTTTTTTTTAATAGAAAAACTAAATTTAGGACATACTTAGGTATAATTATTAATAATATAAAACGTAGTCATAATTTAACCATATCTTCATTTTCAAATAAATAAAGCATAATATATTGTGTAGATAACTTATTTTTGATTTTTTTTTAACTATTTTAGATTTGAAGCAGATTTTGAAGCGCGATTGTTTATATATTTAAGCTTAATGCATGAATTACCTATTTGTACCTATAGATTTTCACTGGAACGTAATCAAAAACATTGACTACTTGATGACAACAATAATAGGGCGTGTTTCACTTTTCACCAAGTTCACCTAGGTTAGTGTTAAATGATGATAATACTGATAACGATACTCACACGAAGTAAAACTGGTCGGTGGTACCGCTATCATCTGCTGCGACGTGAGCATTTTGTAGCATGATCACAATAAAATACAGCAACATTATGCCGGCTATCAGAATGGATGCCGCCATAGTTTTACTTCTATTGTACACAAAAATAGCATACGTGAAGTTATAAATCACCATAATGTTTTTACTTTATGTATTAAATGTTTTATATTTCGACAATCGTGAATCGAATCACTAATAATTCTAAGCCAAAAATATCTCTGGACCGGTTGCATAATAAATACAGTACCTACTGCCCAGCGAATTTAGATCCATTAATATAGTTATTCTGCGAGTAGTAGTGATCATTTTCATTATTAATAATAATTAAAAATAATTTCGATGGACTATTTTATTAACTGTATAAATTTAATAGAAAAAATTAAACCTATCCAATAAAATTTAACTATTTAAAAATAGGTACATAATATGAGTTATGACAAATAAATATAACCATTATTTTTTTCTAATTATTCATATTGTAATATATTACACACAATAAAAATAATAGTGTAATTCAACATAATTTAAAATTAATATAAAATGTAATAAAACTAGTTTCAGATAAATAAAAAAAAAAGAAAAATTTATATGATTGTTTTTTGTTTACGATATAATTTTTAAGATAATTTTGATATTTTTGAGCTATTTATAGGAATGAAAATTTTTTAAATTTTTTTTTTAGAAATTTTGATTTTTTCATGTTAAAAAAATATTAATATAATTTTTTTTTTATTATTCGTTGAGCAAGGGTGGATTAAGACATTGCGTACTATGCAGTCACGTAGGGTAGAAAATGTTGGAGGGCGCTATAACTGTATTGAATATTTATTTAGTTTTTACATAATAAATTTACTTATATAATTTTTAATTTATTTTAGCGTATCAACATATTGAACGGTATATTTGGATTTTGTATTCGTTTATTTTTAATAAAGTAATATTTATTTTTTTTCCAGGAACTTATCGATGACGACGACGATTGTGCTTATCTAATTTTAATTCAATTCTAAGGTTAATGAGATTTATCCATTTATAATTTAATTAGTTGATAGTCGTTCATCCGCCAATAAGTATACGTACGTGTAAATTATTGATCTTATAAAGTTTTTATTGTACAATATTTTTATTTTGTAAAAATAAATTGCAAATATTATATTTAAATTGGAAAGTTTTCTTTTTAAACTTAACTAGAGTAAAAAAATAATTGCATATAATTGAAAAAATAAATTTATTTAAAGATATTTTAGTAATATAAGTTTTTAGGACAGGGACAGTGAATTTAATTTGTCATTGGAGCGGCAAATTGTTAAATCCATCCCTGTCGTTGGGTAAAAATGCTTGGTGAAAAATATCAAAAACCTGTATTCACTAAGTTTTTAATAATTGTTTTAATTTAGAATTTCGACAAAATTCATAAAAATTACGAAAATTAACAAAATAATTTCGTTATTAGAAATATATAATTTTTTTTATTTTTTTACCTTAGATTTGAATATTTAATAAAGGTTTTTAATAAGTTTTTCAGTCTCTATTTAAAAAAAAATTCCACCGGAAATCCAAATTAATTTTTTATTCAATATGTATTAAACTTAATGTATTACTAATATAGTAAAATAAATGACTTTAAATAGAAATATCAAAAATATAATATGAAATATAATTACAGTAGAACCCCTCTCATCCGCCCTCGGCTGGTCCGCCGCTCTGGTTGATCCGACCATAGTATTATCATACTATGTAATTTAAAAATATAGTTTGGATTTTCTACTTTATAGAAGATATTATATAAAATTAATTGCTAGTTTAATATTTCTCTTATCGCTTATCCGCTTTAGTACTCCGACCTCTCTCATATCGTTTCTATCGGTGTGTGTATTTTGGAATATTGTAGCTAAGTCTAGAATGTCATTCACTAAATAAAAATCTATAACTGATTTTTTTTCTAAGTAATGTAAAATATAATAAATTTCTGATATAATCTTGTATGTAATATGTAAATAAAAAAAATGTTCTATATATTCTGATAGTCCGACTTTTTTCGCGTTCCGAAAACACCCCCAATCCCGAAGATGACGGATTAGAGAGGTTCTATTGTACTGATAAAAGCTGAAAGACAGTCTCCGCTCAGAATCGTTTTTCATGTACAATATATGATACATAATTTAATTCATTTTTAATACATCTATAATAATAACTCACTCGAAATCTACTGTACAGTAATAATATCCACTCACTTGGCACTTGCCCACCTTTTTCTTTTTATCAATTTTTAGTGAACAATTAAGAAGTAAATAAGACTTGAGTTATGGCGTATAGTTATTTGAAAGATTTTTAAATTCTAAACGAAGCTAAAACTATTGATTTTAGAATGATCTGTGTTTTTTTATTTGTAGGTACCTACTGCTTATCTATGTTTGAAAAATAAAAGAAAATAATTCTTCAATTTTAAACTTTGAAAGTGTATTTGATAGAAAATTAGAGCTAGTTGTTACTTTTGGATGGTCAATAAAATTCCCAGCATTTTCCAAAATAATCCGGAAAAACAAATTTTTTTCATGAAATATTTATGCAAAAATAATTTTTGATCAAATCAATTTTGTTTTCTTAGTATAACCCAAAGACGAATAATTACAGATATTTGAAATTTATCTAGTGTTTATATTTACATTTTATATCAAATTTAAAATTGTATCAGATAAAATATGATAAAAGTTATTGTTCAAATTTTAATATTTTAAATTATATAAATTCTAAAAGATTAAAATTTTTATGCACTTGTGCTTTATGGTCTTTATTATATTATTTGGTTATTCTAATCAGTTTTCTGTTAATATATTTACTTTTTAAAATAATTATTTTTTATCAAGAAAAATAATATTCTCAAATTATAAATAAATTCTTCCTAATATAAATAATCATTTATTTATTATACTGATTTATTAGACTTTTTTTTATGATATTTCTTTAGTCAACATGACATATTTTATCCAAGTAGGTATTATTCATCATCACATACCTATCATTCGTGATAACTCTAATACACAATTTGCATCCCTAGTTTTAATAAACATTTTAATTGATAGAAACATTTCAATGTTAAGCTTTATAATATTCGTTATATTTATAATTTATTTCTAAATATTATTTGATAATAAAATTAATATTATTTATCATCAATGTTGAGTACTAAAAAATAATAACTGCTTTATCGTTATTAATTTTCAAATTTAATGTTTAAAAATATGCTATAATATAAATGAAAACATGAAAAAAATTTTTAAGAAACCCATACTAAAATATATAAATGTGTATCTTTGTAGTTTTGTTAAGAATAGCATTTAAAATGTACTTACTGTGTGGCTTACACGTACTATTTCTTGAATATATTATACTATATGAACTCGTATATACCCACTGTATTATTAACTTCTTTCCGTCATTGGTTTCAAAGTACGATTGAATAATGATAATATTTTGTTTGTTAGAAGTCAGATAAACATTATTTTAGTTTCTGGCGAGTTTATGAAAGGGGTCGAGGACCAATAGTGAATTATAATGATTACACCATATTATTAGTACGTACCTACTTATATAATATATGTTATAACTTATAACTTATAAGGTATAGCCAACTATTACGTTTTAAACAACATATTCTGATAAATTTGGCTTATATTTTTTATGTATAATATACATATAGTGATACTAATTGCTTTAGCTATACATTATACAATAATAAATAAATTTGGCGAGGATCATAATTTCACTTCGAACATTATCACTATAAATGGACTGCTATACAATCACGTTTTTATTATTCCATTTATACATTCATATATAGATCATATATTTTCGATATAAAACTATTAGATATTAGTAAAATGATATTCATTTTAAAAATTAATGTGAAAAGTTAATTTAAATTTACTCGTATAAAGTATAAAGTAAACATTATAACAAGGTCACGAAACTTAAAAACATAAATGATAAAAATCACTTTTACAATATATCTAATGTTTAATATACAATATTATTATAGCTAAAAAAGGGGGAAATTAGGTAACTGTTCTTCTTTGTAATTCTCGACATCAAGTGTACCTCGTCATAAAATAAAAGACATAATTTACTGTAGTCTGTTCTCTGTATTATAGATATGTATTAAATTTGAATTTAATGATAAATTATCGTATACGAAACACAATTCTGAGTGCAGATGATCGTTCAACCTAGGATTTTAAATTATATCGTATTTATATTGTTATTAGTAATATATTTAATTTGTATAACAACAATACAAGTTGAAATAATTTTTGTCGAAAAAATTCCATTTTTATTTCATTAATATTTAATTGCTATAAAGTTATAAATTATAATACTGCTTATACTTTATTTTATATTATATATTATTTGAATTAGCTTTTGAGTTAATAACGTAAAACAGTGTTAATATGAATCTTACCGTTTGTAATTTTCCTATATCATAAATATATTCAAAATGTTTTGTCATTGTGTACTGTGCAGGTATATAAAATATAATAATAAACGTAAAAGTTTCAGATTTTCATGAAAAATATTTTTGAATTATATCAAAATAACTAAAATCTTAAATCGTTTTTATTTTTTCAATTATCTAATTCCGTACAAATTGAACATACAATTATGTCTATGAAAAAATTGAAACCGACGGCTGCCTATACTGGGCATGCATTTGTTATTATCGGTCTTATTATTAACGTATACATCAGAAGTAAGTGAGCATTTGATTTGTAGAGTTGAGCTATAGTTAACTAGAAGATATTGTATTTTCATACGAGTATAAGCTGGGTTTAGTTTTTCATTTATATATATTTTCCAGGTTAGTTTTTCGTTTAGAAAGACTATTAGGTATTTGATTGCTTGATCCTTATTGTTCCATAATATTATAGGTTGATTATTCATTTTTACTTAGGTTGAATTTGTATACTTCTTTAAGGTGAAGATTTTTGCTTTGTTTTTAGTGGGGTTTAATTTAAATTTCCATTTTGTAAATTAATCTGATATTTGATTTACTAAGTTTTTTAAGTCTGTGAATTTTAAATTTTTACAACGAATTTTATCTATTTAATAACTATTTCTCCTCAAACGTTTTTTGTTTTATTCAATAACAAAAACGATATATACTTAAAATTTCCACGAAATTTTTATATGATCATTTTCTATATAATTTTCAAAATTGCTTACTCATTTTATGCTATTTATAAGCATTGGAGATTTTCAATTGTTTTTTAGTTTTTTCCCTTTAAACGTCTATAAATATTCGTTTATTTTTTAAACATATATTATCAATTTAATTATACAATAAAATGTTAAATTTTTTTAACTCTGAATTATTTATAGACATGAGAAATTTTCAGTTTTTATCAATTTTTTCCTGTATATGTTGATAAAAAATTATTCACTTAATCAAAATTTTTGAAAATGTAATACAAAATCTCGCAAAATATATCTATATAAAAATATTAAAAATACATTAGCACAATTTTTTTATATATGTACCTTTAAATATAAAATTTTATCGAAATTCATCAAAATCACAAAAAATTACTAATTATCATTTTATATCTAAGTTTTAAAAATGTAATCCAAGATTTCCCATAAGTAATTCATATTTCATACGGAAATCATAAAATCTATAAAATATGTTTAAACAAAATTACTTATTTAAAGATAAATAACGATACTAATTATAATTATTTTGTTGTACTTTAAAAACATTTTTCATGGGAACTTAAAATTTTACGTATATTATAAAATTATGAAATTTATTATACGCAATAGCCCTTTTGATTTATTTTAAGATATTATCTATTTATACAAAGAATCTAATTTTACTATTTTAAAATATTTACAAAAAGATGTTATTAAATTCCGAGTTATGTAAGTTGATATAATATAGTATAAATATGTTTTTAAATATTTTCAGAAAAAATTGTATCAACCATCAACCTATTATAAAACTATAAAGAAAATAAATTACTTTAATAGCTATATCAAATATACTTATTCCTTGGTGATATAGGCTGATAGATTGTTTCTGCTCAGAATCATTTTTCGTATACAATGATATATCATTGAATTTAAATTTAACACACCTACAATAGTAATTCATTCGATACCTAATGTACAGCAAATCGGTATTCGCTTACCTATCGTTTTGTTTTTGTTTTTACTGATTATTTTGAAAAGTATAGAGAATTACTAATTTTTATCTCCTAAAATTACAAACTATACATTCACATATCTACCAAAAAATATAACGAGTTTAAAATCAAAATGATTTTTCTTCTATAAACCGTGTATACAAACACTAAAAAATACATCATTGTAAAATTAATACATTCATCGCTCAACTTAAAAACTTAAATTTATACATATTATATTACTTATTTTTTTCAAATATAAGACTTTGTTTTTTTTTTTTTAATAAACAAAAATATATTTATTTTTAAAATGATAAAATCATTTATTTAGTAAGTATTTATTTGTTTATATTTTGTGTTTTCTGTTGTATAATTTTAAAATATTAGATATTTATATAGCGGTAAATTTTAATGTTTGTGACGTCCGAAATTAATGTGTACTTATGAATTAGAGCAAATTTAAACAATCATATTATACCGCAGTATAATATATGAAAAGTATTTTATTGTTGCTGTATAATTACACAGATAAGTATACTTATTTTCTTTTTAAAATAAATTTACAATGATTCATAAATTACATATTTTAATTATCCTTATTATATTGTCATATATTATGCAAATTAATTTAAAATAACATAATCATTAAACAATGCTCTACATACTGATCATCAGAACGTTTTTGAATATTTTGTGTATGTAAATTTTCTATTATATTTAAGGCTTTTACAAGTATTGAAATGTATTGAATACAATAATATTGTTAGCCTTACAATTATAAATAATTATTTATGAATAACTATAATTAACACAACAAGTTGATCATTAATTCATAGCTCACAGGAGTAACACCTGTATAATCATAACCAAAAGCTGAAATATACTTTTATTCTTTATATAACTATATATATAAGTACAACAGCTATTATAGTATTAAATTAGTTTTGTTAGGTCAAAAAATGTTTGACTAAAAAACTATTATAAGGCATATTGTTGTTATTATTTTGTAATGATTTATATTTTATATATATCTGCTCTATTCATCGTCAGCTATTCGTTTCCGTATTTCTATTCTACCGTCCTTGTATAGTGTACACAACGAGCCCTTTTTCAATTGTTAATTATTTTTTTAATATTGATTACACATCATCCACCTCCGGATGTCCGATCCCTATTGAGCAGTTACTTTTACGTATGAGCATAGTCATGTATAAACAATCTTACCCCCGCATTCCTCCGTACCATGTCAGATTTACTAAGCCAAATGCCCGATACTTTTTTGTGAGGAGCCGACTCGTCACTGCGTATACCACCCCGCAAGACATATGGTTTCATCTAGCACGAAGACATAAGTTCAGACGTAGGTATATTACAGTTATTGAAAGACATGCTAAGCGTGATACCGAACGACATCGGAGTGCGGCATTAAAACAGTTATGACTTCAAATACTACCTCCAACTTTTCTCCCCATCGTTTCTGAAATTGTTGGCTTTGCTCGTTGAAGTGAATAGTTTAGACATTTCAAGTATCTATGGTTATTTGTTTTTTAATCATGACAAAAAAAAAAAAAAAAAAAAAATAACGAAAATTGTTTGAGGAGAAATGATTATTATTATACTGGTGAATATCCATTGACATGGAAAATTAATTTGATTTTCTGATAAAAATTTTGTTTTTTTCATAAAGATTGTAAAACATAAAAAGAGCTTAGAACTAAATTCAATATAATAAGTACAAACGAAAAATTATTTATGGATTTTAAATATCAAAACATTATTTATTTGTTTAATTTCTGCATCACTGCTATCATAGAACTTTGTCTGGATTGTCTTTTTTAATGGGCAAGACCCCGTTCGCTCAAAAATAAACTTTTGCTTTTCAATCAAATATTTTTAAACTACTTTCCCCCTTTGCCCAAAAATAGTATAACACTTTTTGACCACATTTTATAATGCGCACTTTGGTAATTTACACAAAAAAATAATTATGTTTTTCCGAAAGTGGGTATTATAAAAATGTGGTCAAAAAGCGCTATACTATTTTTAGATGAAAAGCAAAAGGTCATTTCTGGGCGAAAAAATTGAGTCCCGCCCTCTTTTAACAACTTTATTAAGTAAAGGTCAATTATAAATATCTATACAGTTGTATATCTTCCCCAAGATATTGTTGTTTCATTTTAATATTCAAGCTAACTTCATTAGATTCGTAATTTTATATTATATTATTTTTTTATTTTATACAATAATATGAACCTATACTACTAACTTTATAAATATCTTTAT